TCTATTTCAAAACTAATTTAAATTGACTGAAAGAATTTTTTTTTGTTTAAAAAAAATTGATTTTAGTGTCATTTTTGTTTATTGCAATGTAATTTTCCTTATTAAAAAATCTTCCTAAAATATAATTTTCTGAAATTTTATTTGGGAAATATTAGCTGATTTAATGTATAATTAATCTGATTTGAAATAAATATTAACTTAAGGTTAAAATATCACAGAAATGCATTTTTATTCTTATGGAGACTATTTGTAAAACATAATTTAAGAAAATGACATTAGCAACTTTTATGTATAATTTTTAAGTATTCAGTAATCTTAAAAATTTAGGAAAATAATCTCTGTAATCCCATGTTTTATTGAATTGTAGAAATTTTGGCTTTAAATTTAATATAGTTATCACTCTTATTTTCTAATGTCTGGTATGGACACCTATATCTACGAATGTCAAAAAAAAAAAAGTTACCAAGATTTTCTAACAAAACAATTTCAAAAATAATTTCATTCATTTTGTGAATAAGTCCTGAAAATTATTTAAAATTTGACAATTATTTTAATTTTTCAAGAATTTCCAAAATAATGTGTTTTTAACACCAAAAAATATGCTAAAATTTTCAATACTAATTTTTGGCCCATCTGCTGATACACAGAAAAAAAAAAATCTTAACCAAACTTCTAAATGTGATAGAGAGGATTAAAAAAAAGTTAATGAAATAATCAAAAAATACATTTGATGAAAAAAAAAGAAACTTTTTTTAAATCAATTTTGAAGCCTTTTTGCATCATGGTAGACTCTTTTTCAGCAAATTATTGGAGGAAAGTTGTATGATGAAGTGAAAAAGTCTTCGTGTGATGCATTTCCTCCTTTTGGATGTAATTGGGCTAAATTTGCTTACAAACAAGAAACAGTGAATTTTAAATATAATTCTTTTATTTTTTTAATATATATGCATATTTTGGGTATATAATCTAGCAGATTTAATTTAGATTCTTTTTGTTTTTGTTTCCATCAATTTTGTTATTAAATATCTCACATTGTGACAATAAGAACCTGGACATAAATTTACAAAACAATAATCTAAAACTTTGAGGAATTTACTCTACTAGTTGTAATGATTGCCACGAAGAATACATCGCAGAAACCTCAAGAAATTTAAATGAAAGATTATATGAACACAAAAGGGATATTTTACAAAATAACATTAAAAACATTAGTTGCTTGTGGAAATGAGAGTGATTGCAATTTTGATATAAAAAAGCTACTCGAATTAAGAGAGAAAACTAAGATAAAAATGTTCAGAAAGTATTTTAATCACTAGATTGTCCATAGTAAATTTGTGTCCAGGTTCTTATGTTTCACCATCTTTAGCAGATCTGTTATCACAGTGTCTGATATTTAATAACAAAATTGATGGAAACATTAAGAAAGAAAAAGAATCTAAATAAAATTAGCTAGATTATATATCCAAAACACACACACACACACACACACACACACACATCAATCAATGTAAACAAACTTAGTCTTATGAAGACCTAAAGGACGAAACACATCACATAAAAACTTCTCCACTTTGTCATAGCTTCTTATCTAATATCAGCTCTATTAGGCATAGGCTAGGGTTTTTTTTGTTTTAGTGATTTCTAAATGTTAGTATATTTGTAATAATCATACATTTGATTTTTGCTGCTTTTTTTTTTTTTTTTTTTTTTTTTTTTTTTTTATATACCTGCAAATAAAATGAAAAGAATATTATATAAAGTCGGGAAACATTTATGATGTTTCTGCATGGAATACTCAAATATAATGACCATTTACCAGATTTGACTCTTTTTCTTTCCCATTGTAATAAATATCACAATATCTGATTTTCACGGTGGTCATTTAACTATAAATGGAAGATTGTGAGAAATTTTTTTTTTTTTTAAACTTCTTATAGCTTAGTTTGGCACATGGCTAACATAAGAAGTTGACAGATTGTGTTTTACTAAGCTTCAAAATTTGAACAGCCCAATGATCTTGAAGATCAACATTTAAAAGAAAAAAATTATTGATTTGTTGAGTGCATGTTAACAATTTTTCTTTGCAGATTTAACAATGTACAACAATCTTTATGTATCCCTTGCATTTTTGGGGTAAAGAAAGCAATGTACCAAAATTCAACATACTTCATTCAGTAGTTTTGTTTTTTATATCATATGAATAGGCTTAGTGCTTTAAATGGACATAAAAATATACACACTTGTGCATACTTAACAGAAACAATGGGAAATTATAGTGCTTAGATTTTTTTTTTTTTTAAGTTTTATTTTGTAGCTTACTAGAGCAATGACTCTACATATGTAGAGTAGGTCAAAAACAACATTTATGCACCCAATATGTATTGATCTATTTATTTGTGCACTTGCCCTGTTTATTCAATGAGGATATGAATATCTGTTAAGCTTTTGCCAATCAATTGTAATTGAGAATTATTGCACTGTTCAAGTTTCATGGATTTCAAGACATTAGTAGCATTTGTAAAACTATTCTTTTTGATCAAAAATCACATTAAAATAAAATTAAATACAATTACCCAATTCTTATAGCCATGTATCATTTTTTTCTCTCCTGTGAACCTCGCAATAAATTATACCAAGTTAGATTGGGTAAGATGTATGGCAAGCTAGAGCAGTTAAGGCATATGTTTTATGCTCAGATGGCGTTGAAAAATATATTGTTTTTCAGTGCTTCCAACTGTTAGATTCTAATATGCTAATTAGTGTTTTCTCAGAGTTGGCATAATTTTTAGGATTACTTATGTTTCTATAAAAAAATACATTGTGCAAGTTTCGGTTTATAATCTCTATCCTTATTAAAAAATATTGATAATAACTTGCTTTGGAGAATGGCAAGTTTTATTATGCAAACAAAATAAATCTTTATTTATAAATCAGTCCTAAATGTATAGGCTATAGAAATATATATACTTGATTAACATAATGTCTCATAGCTGAATAAATTATTTATTTTGCTTGTTAATATGAGTTACTTGACATTCTATAACTTTCATCAGTCTTTCAACCAGTGATTTTTGTTTTGACTTGCAGCAATTTTTATTATTTCCCATTGACAGTCATTTGAATATTGTTCTTATTCTCACTTTTTTTTTTGTTTGTTTTCTGTTCATTAATATTCAGAGAGTCTGGGTCCATTCTACCAATATCATGTGTAATTTTTGGTAAGGTGGTCAATAGTCAGCTTTGCAAAATGTGAAAGAACATTTTCTTACATGAATACATTCTTTAGTTTAATGCTCCTTGGTTGTAAGCTGTACCACTTAAACATTGTCTGCATTTATTTTGAACCCTTATTAATTTTGAAGTGGCCTATAATTTTACTGCCCACAATACTAGCCCAAAACATTATTACACCTCCTCTGTTGTCTTCTAAGTCTTTTTGGCTGACTATTTTCATGAAGGACCCAGTATCTAATCCAGCCATCAGATCCATCCAGTCTGCTTATCAAGTCATTACTAAAAATTATTGTTGAGAAATCAGTTTTCTTTATTCACTTTGCATGTTTCTCTTTATTTTTCTTCCTTATTACCTTTTTAATTCTTCTCAAATCTCTTTGATATTCTTTTATCTGGCCAATGTTTTCAATTTCTTTTTTGATTGTTCTTTGATTTCTTTTTGACTTGTTTCCACCAACTAAACAATACCTTGTTTCATTTTTGTGGTTATATCTTTCTTATGACCCATGCAATTTTTTTAGTTTTGATATTAAAACATCAGTAACTATTCTAATATATTTATTTAGAATATGATGAACAACTCTCAAGTTTCTTAATAAAATCTTACGTCGCTAATTTATTGTAAATATTTCTAATAAAAATTGGCATTACAAACTGAAATTCACACGGTATATTTAACATTAAATTAGAAGGTATATCCTGAAAATATTACCATCGGTTAATAACAATTTTATTGTGAAAATATTGACTTGCATAATGCAATCTGATGCATGCAAATGAAATAAAGTTTTGTCATGTCTCTGCCACATCTTAAAACAAAAAAAAGGAATGTTTATATGAACAATAATTTATATAAACAAAATGATTGTAACTTTTCAATATTTTGCAACACTTAAAAAGTTCAGTTTAAGAAAAGACAGTGTTTAACACTGTTTAATAATATTTCAAAAGTATGTCTGTCTTCAAGATATGTTTAAAAATTACATACAATTATAAAGAATATAAAAAAGAATATAAGACTTTGTACAAACATTGCTTGTCTTGAGAAAAACAGTTAATCAACCTGATAAAGTGAATGAAATGCACCCAACATGAATGAAATGCAACTAAAACGCGAGTAATATGATGGGATCATGATCATCTTGGAAAATTTTCCTTTAGTTGATTAGTTAGTAAAATGGACTAGTATAAATTTTATGGAATTTGCCTGTCATTTTGTTCATTTTCCCCTGGGATTGGATGTTAATTTGCATATTAAAGCACATGAAAACTTGTAGTTTTTTTTATATTTTTTATACTTGTATGCAATTTTTAAACATAACTTGAAGACAGACACACTGTTGAAACATTATTAAACTGTCCTTTATTTTATTTTCTTAAATCATGATTTTCACTAAATGTTGCAATAATAATAACAACAACAATAACAATACAAACCCCCTTAACATAAAAGTTAAAAAAAATTAATGGACATTTGATATATAATTCCATTACAGGTGGGGGCCAAGTGTACAATATTTGTGGATACATTCTCTTTGGAGAAAGGAAATACTAATTTCAACCGAATTCGGTTTCTTCAGGTCTTTTGGCAATGGTCTAAATATTATGTGTGTGCTTTTGAAAAAGTGACAATACTAATATTGTATGTAATATATATTACTCATTTACAGACTTTCTTTCCATTTGTTTTGAGATTCATACAGTGACTTCCATTGTTTTTTTTTTTTTTTTTTTTTTTTTTTCCATTTTGTTTTTCTTTTAAATAGGAAAGAAAACCCAGAAGTGAAAAAAACAGCAGCTCCTAAAGACAGGTGCCACTATTTTAAATATCCTCAGCCCTCATGTTTTACTATGCTTTTCTAAACTCAACATTTATTTTTATACTTTGTTTCATATTGTGAATATACTTTATTTAAAATTTTGTTAGTTGTATTTCTCAAACATATGGATAACAAACATGTTTATTAGGGCACCAGTATTTTGAGAACTTAAAACGATTACTTGGTTACTTATTTTATTGTATCATTTTTACTTACAATTGTTGCTACATGATGCTAACAATAGTCAGTGCATTATTTAAACAAATTAGCTGTAAATAATGATTCAATGCCTTTTTACAGCCATTTGTCACTTGTATTATTGCCAACTAAAACTGTTTTTACATATGCTTAAGTAGCAAAGGAATCATTGTAAGTAATGTATTTAATCAAAATAAGTGCTGCATAATTTACTTTTATTAATCTTTTTCTTTTTTTTTTTCTTTTTTTTTTTTCAGTCATTAAGAAACTTAGTTAATTTAACTATACTTTTACAGTATTTTTCTTTGATATCTTTACAACTAAAGAAAACAAATTGCTATTGTTACATAAAGACTGTCATTTAATATTCAGCCAGCTTAAAAAAATACTTTAAAATGTTTTCAAAAAATTGCATTGGACTTTGGAAGAATTCATTTTACAGTATTAAAATGTGCTTTTTTTTTTTTTTTTTTTTGTGTGTTACAAAATAATATTAATTTAGTCAAGTGTTTTAAATGAGTTATTCACAATGTGAAGTTATGCAAATTAATCATCACTTCTTGGGCTGCTAATTTCTCACTTATTCACTGTTTCTACTTACTGCACTTGAATTGCAACTGAAATTCTGCCAATCTTTTGCACTTGTCATTCTAGTTGCATTTGCATGCTCTTGTAATGATTCTCTTGCTTTAACCCTTTGCCTCTTAGAAACTTTAAGCATCAACTCAAATTCAGTCCATCTAAGATCATGGCAATCCAATCTTTTATATGAAGAAGAGATTTAAATATCCAAACAATGTTGGCTATTCAGCCATCTGATTTGAAATGTATTGGAAGACCTTGCTGTGCTGAAATCAGATGTTGTCCAATTATATGACTACTTGCTTAGAATAGTTTTCCTTTTAATGGAAAAAAAAATTATCAATGTAAAAGATGAGACTTGGTACAAACTTCTCCATAAAAGCTCTTTTTTATGCTTCAAACTTATTCATTATTTCCCTGATTAGCTTTGGAAATAAGCTCTGCTTATTACTATTATTATTTTAGTCTGAAAAGTCAGTAAAGAAAACTGACTGGATTTGACACTGTTTCTCTTAGAGCGATCTTATTTTTTTTCTAATCCAAATCTTAGTTAATCAATTTCTTGATGACTCTACTTATCCTTGACAAACTTGAATGTATCCATATTCCTAACATTTTAAGCTTTATCTCAATGTAGTAATGAGAAAATGGTATCTGTCTTTTTTTTTTTCCAATTTAAACCTAGGCCATCAACAAAAATCAATATAGACAAAATATATTTATTGACTAGAAACTTTCAATAATATCATTAATTCTCTCTTTTTTTTTTTTATTTTAACAATTAACTTTTGAAGTATACTTTCAGTTTATTAGCTAAAATGGTGTGGGTCAGCACCAAAAAACGAAAAAACAGCTCTACTCCTCATCAAAATATTTGTATGTGTCTGGACAATAATAAGGAGGCAATAAAACTAGTTGAAATCTGTTGTATCAATATTTACTTCTTCAGCACAAGCTTCTCAAAACACTATTGTCCAAGTAACATTTATATTCTCTTTGTATACCCATCTCTGCACACAGATGACCCATGTCCTTCTCTACTGGTTTTACTGATTACAATGTTCACCTGCTCTGCTTGCTTTGTCTTTTATTATTGACACACTACAACTGTTATTAGCTTCTAACGTAAGATCAACTGTTTACTGTGCCATGCTGCCTGATCACCATATATTGCCCTGAATTCTCAGCAATCCATTTATTGCTAAGGGATTATATAAAACGAGAACAAGATTGCTTGTCCTATTTAACTCCTGTCATAGAACAGTAGTGTGTTGTCTAGCAAGCCGTTGCCATGAGTTTGATCTTATCAGGGTGTTTCCATGAATATGGCTTTCTCTGAAAGTGGTCAAATGAATCTTGTCTCATCTTCTCAAAGCTATATTATCAGCGAAAGTGGTTATTTGTTAGAAACACACATGCATGTATTAATTTAGTGAACTGCACATTTCTATCTTTCATGTGGTGGTTTTAACCATCAACCTATTAACTACATTCGGGGTCTTTTATTCATACAGAATTTGTGCTACAAATAAGTTAAGATGAAGGATTGACTCCTACCAAGACAGACCTGGGCCATCAGGTTTGACTTCATGGCTAACTTACCATTTTTCTTTTTTTTTTTTCCTTCCTTTAATCATTTCACACTAAGCAAAGCAATAATTTGATCCTAAGATACAGGGGGTGGGGTTACTGGGAATAGAAGAGAATGAGAAGAGACAATAAAAGAACAGGATTCTGGAAGATTGGCATTGCATTTAAATTTATCATAACTGTCGATAGCAGGGAAGAAAGAATCTGGAAGAGTTACACAGGCAAGAAGTGCGAAGAAAGAAATTAAAATAGAACTTAATGGTTGCATTTATCTATTTTAACAGTAAAATGAAACCTTGTAGCTAATCAAGTAGTACACTTAAATTCATGTGGTCAAAGTACTAAGGAGAAGAGCTCATTAAAATAATTACCATGAAAATATTTATAGTAAAGACAGAGGGAAGCCATGCCATGGTGGTGGGGAAAGTATCTGAAGTCGAGATGCCAGGTTAGGGCTGATAACATTGCAAACCATTCTTTGGATTTTGTTGAGAATCTCGAGAGAGAGAGAGATATATAGCAAGAACACCAAATCAGATATGGCAGCAATATTCAATGTACAGTCGAATGGTAGATTTATAAATGTACAAGGTGGATTCTGGAAAAGATAAATTTTCTGGCATAACACAGTGAAACAACTTTCTCAGCAGCAGACCTAGCAATTGATTCAATATAATTGCTCCACTTTATGTCAGTAGAAAACATAAGGCCAAGAAGGTGTAATGAGTTAGCATCAGCCATACTGATGGAAGGCAGTGAGGGGTATCTCAGATGATTAAAATATGGCAGTTTCATTTTGGAGGCATCAAAATTTACAAGCCATTTCTTGTTTCAGTTAACAACTGATTTGAGGTCATTTTCAAGACCAGCTGCCAGTTTTACTTTATCAGACTGATCTGTTGTACTATTAAAACAGGAGTAAATAGTTGTCATTGGCATAAATACTGAATTCAGAACTGATGACATTGAGAATGTCATTGATGAAGATAAGAAACAACATATGTCCAGGGATAGGTCCAAGGGGTACCCCTGCTTTAATGTGAAAAGATCGAGAAGCATGGACATTCAACACGGCTTTAATTACACGGTTTGTTAAGAATGATTGGATTATGTCAAATATTCATCCGGAGGCAACATAGCCCTTGAATTTGTTTAGGTCAGCATGCCAAACCCTATCAAATGCCTTTATATATATATTTTTTTCTCCTTTGAGATTAGATTTCAAAATTCTGAAAGTAACATAATTCATAGGGACTTTCTGTATTTCTTCACCTGTCCTTTTGATAAAAAGAACTATGCATCTGTAATCAGTTGAATATTGCATGAGAGAATCATGTTTATTCACATCACATAGAATCTATAGTCAATTCCATTGGTTGTGTTTATAACATGATTATACTGCAACCTACTTAAATGAATATTTATTATGCCCATTGTGTAGTGGTAATTTGTTAGAATTATCTCCACAAATAAAAGGAAAATAACTTTAAAATTATTTAAGCATCAATCCCATAAATTTGCAAAGGTATAATAAAAAAAGTGGGGGAGATTTATAAGAGAAGAATCTTTATTCCTTCAAAAGATAACTTTTCCTTCACTTAAAGAACTTAATTTAATAATTGGTTCTTCTCTTTTAGTTTTATGCATTTACAAATTGGGATGTGTTATCAGTAAGGAAAACTGGGTTGGCTCACCAAGTTTCAATTCCTGCTGAGGTCAATGTGTTTGCACAAATGTCTTTGTAAAAGGTAATGGATTCCTCTCTACTCCTCCAGTTATTGTTAATTAGCAGGGCAGACTGGGATTTCTAACTTTGGTTGGCAACAGATTTGGGAGAAGTTTTGGTTGCTACCACTTTAGAAGGACAACTCTGAATTCAAAATGGTTTTGGTGTGGGGCTTGCAACTCCACCCTGTAAAAACCTGCTTGCTATGGAAATCACAGCTGCAAAACCTAGAGTGATGAGGCTGTTGTCCTATACTCTATGGGCGAGTCCCCAAGGTTAATGTATGTATTTATATATTTTTATTCATCAGAATCTAAACTGGCATTGTTTTGGTTATTAGCCCTTTGTATGGTGCTTACATACAATCAAAAAAGAAGAAAAAAAGGGTCTGTCTTAAATTGATTTTAATTTAGCTGCCTTATATTTTTTTTTCTTCTGAAGACCAAGGAAATCCTCTTTACCTCCCTCAAATGAAAAACAAGCTGAATCCACAGATTCGTCAAATGACAAGGATCCCACTATTATCAAGTAAGGAAATTCTTATTTCTGTCTTGTTTTTGCTTCAAATCTCTTTGCTTTGACATCTTTTTTATTTACAAATCAACATGCTTCTTTTTTGAAGCAACATTTACAATAAAGAGTCTTTTAACACCTATCAATAGTCAAATGAACTGGCTATGGTATATCATAGCCAGATCATTTGAGGTATAAAAGAAGACTGTTTTAAAAAGTATACATATATTTGCAGAAAACTGTAATGCCGTGATAAAAGAAAACAGAATGACTCTTTTTATGTTTTTTTTTTTTTTTTCATCTACATCTCATGTATATTTGTTATTATGAGAAAATGCTTTTACTGATTATTCCTTAAAGTTAACCTTTGTGTGTATGTTCTGTTTTGTCGACCCTGAAACAGAACATAGTGATAGATTTCACAGATTCTTTATCTCAAAGAATGCTGTCATTTGATATTTCTTCATTCAAGTGCACTAATCAATATTTGCACACCATTTTTATCAGAAAAAGAAAATCCCACCTAGCACCATCCAGTGCCAAGTTGTATGAATGGACGGACTCTCCTGACGATGACTGCCCTTCCCTAAGTCCGTAAGTGTGAAGTTATTTTCTTTTCTATTTGTTTTTTCACATATACATTTCTCATTTGCCTTCGTTGCAGCAACACAAAAAAAAATTGTTACAGTACAATAGCCAATTGTTTTAACTTTTTTTTTCTCAAATGTTTTGGTTTGGTTGTATTTCTGGTAAATTTTGAGGGTCAAAAATTATGTCAACATTGCTTCCAAACTATGCAAACATTACTCTACTTGAGTATAGTGAGTTTTTATGATCCGTTTTTATGTAAACAAAAATAGAGTATTGCAATATACACAGGTAATTTTTTTTTTTTTTTTCTGGAGTGGTTAAAATTCATACAAAAAGTTCAGTGGTCGGTAATTCTGTTAAAAGTGCTTGATTTAGAAATATACAAGCAATGGCATAAAGCCACTAAAGGGGGGTCCCTGAGAGTGAAAGAAATTGAGAAGATGTTATTAGGGAGGAGAAAGGGAAGTAAAAGAAAAGTATTCAAAAAGACAAGATGATGATTAATGGTGCATTTAAATTTTTGAAGATCCTAGTTGTCATGAAAGCAAGAGACCAGAAGAGATTTTTTTCCCCAAATGAAAAGTGAAAGTGTAGAAACTGTTAGGATAGAGCTTTTGGTGACATAATTTGAAACAGTAAAATGTTGAGACATAATTTGAAACAGTAAAATGATGAGATTAAGCTGCCAGTCTCGTATTGCACTTAAATTTGTGAAAATTGTCAGCATATTGTGATTATCATGCCCAAAGGATTATCAATTACTGATGGACAAATGCTTTATGAAAACAGAATTGTTGAATCAGTTACATTTTTTGGCTCATTTTAAAAGCAGATATTTCTATTATTTGCTTAAAAATTAAATGGACTAGATATTCAAGAAAAGACTGGGACAAAATTGAAATCAAATTCTAATGACTTAGTTTGTCACTAATTCTAAGAAATGCCCTTTCTGCAATGTATTAGGCATAATTTGTATTGAGTATCTAGTCCTCTCAAAAGAGGATATTGGGAGCTTTTGTATACACGTGATATTTATATAGCTATTTTTTCTGCATTCACTGATGCCATATTTTTTTTATTTTTTTTATTTGGTTTTAATTTGATTGCTTTCAGTAAGCCCAGATTGAATACTCATGTTGCTCAACAAAATTCTCAACAATTTGCACCACCTCCAAAGAAGGAAAAAAGTAATATCAAAAAGGAGAAAAATAACAGTAATTCAACAAAGAAGGCAAACAGGTAAGTGATGAACAGAACACTTAAAAACAGAGCTCCATTCTGCAAATATGGCAGTATCTTCTTTATAAACTCTGTTACAGTCTCCTGATCCTTTTGTCTAGATCACTGTTTCTGAACCGCTGCACCTGGGCACACTAATGCAGCCTGAAAGGTAGCCAGGTGCACCCCAAATTAACAGAAGAGTAATTTATGAATTATTTTTATGTTAAAAAATTTTTTTTTTTAAAGCTAGAGACACCAAGCATATATGGCCTCTGTCAAAGTTAAGTCTTTGTCATTTGATATTTTAAACTGAATGTTAAATTCCTTAATTTTTAATGATTGGATAATCCTTTCCCTTTTACCTTCCTTAAAAGATTTAAATTGATCATTATTGGCCACTCTATTTAAAAAAAAACAAAAAAAAACAAGAAGAAACGAAAGCAGTTTCTTCATAAATCCCTTTTAAATGTAAACTGTACTGCTGTTAATCCTCTTTGGGAATGCTAAACTAAAAAATTACAATCATTAAATATAATTTTCTTCTTAAGCCTACTATAGTCTGACAGGTCAAGCCTTTAAAAACTTTGGTTCTACTTAAAAGCAAGGACATCTCCGATTCTGGCCAGTTCGTGGATTCTGAGATGCTACTATACTAATTTCCAAAGATCTCATTCAAAAAATTGGCAAAATACATCAAGCACAGGTTTCATACAAGCATACTTAAATATACAATGTAATGTAAAATAAATGCTTTTCAGGAGACTATATTATTTTCCTATGTTTTGATTAATTTTTTTTTTTTCATTATTAAAACTAAAAGTATGCCCCAGAGTTTTAGTTATTCTACAAATGTGCCCTGAAGTTATAAAAAAAAAACAAATCACTGGTCTAGATGTTTGAAGACTGAATTATTGTCAAAACTTTCAAAAGTATTTTATAATCTCATTTAAATCACCATACTGTGCTGATTTGCTTAAGACAAACATTTTGACTACTTAGCAAAAATTGAACATTCAAAAAAAATGCAGCAAAAAACACAGTCCCCATATTTCCTACGCAGAATGTTCTCAGAAAATATTTTAAGAAAAAAAATGAATTTTAATGTTTTTATAAAAGAAATTATGACTACTCAGTCTCATGAAATTAACATTTAATTTGAAAAAAAAAAAAAAATGTAAATGTTCTTTGTCATTGAATATATCAAATTTACTCTTTATTTATTTAACAAATGACTTTCTGCAGTTATTATTGGTTTTTAAGTAAAATGGTAAAATATGTAGGATTTTCTTGCATTTCTTTTTTTTTTTTTTCCTTTATTACTTACTAAAGAGCTCGATTCTTGGAGTAAAAGTATTCATTTTGAATGCAACTGGTTCATTGTGATGCATGGAATAGATACAGTCTGTTTTGTCTATGCTTATTAGAAGTAGCCTAAAGAATAATTATGTTTGTATTGTTCTTTTTGGGGAAAGAAAAAGGAAGAAAAAAGCTGATTATTCATGCTAAATGAACTATGAGGATCTGAGTTGCTTGACTGAATTTCCTATATCCTTTCCTCTTACTCTAGATGTTTATTTTCCTTCTTTTCAGGCCTCCACGGTTAAAGAATGTTGATCGAAGTAGTGCTACTCATATGTCAGTAACAGTGGGCAGTGTGACTGTTGTAATCACAGACTTTCAACCTAAGAAAGACAGACGCTCCTCGACAGATACACAGAATGTCAGTCCATCAGACAGTAGTGATGCTTCCTCATCTACGGCAGGCAATGATTTTCATGAGGATTCCAGTGTTGACAACAATTGAGGCATTACACCTACATTATCTTTCCAAATTTGGGGACTTCATTATATACATACAAATATGCATACAGTTTCTTCTGTTTTCAAAGTCTTGATTTTGAGTTTAAACAATTTTTTTTTTTTTTTTTTTTTTTTTCCTGGCCCAAACTTTTAGACTTTAGAAAAATAATGTGAAATTTGTATTTTACATGTTTTTTCTTTTCCAATAATTTTTGTTACCTGACCCAAAATTATTAGATTTGAAATGGAGAACGTGAAACTTTTTTTAACCCAAAAACAACAAACATCAGTTTTTAAATAAAGAAATTATTCCATTTCCTTCCATCATTTTTTTTTTTTTTTTTTTTTTTTTTTTTTCTCTCAGAGAAAAAAAAGGAAATGTTGGGAATATGAGGCCTATTTTTTTTTTTTTCTTTGTCATTAGTGCCAAGGAGAAAAATGAAGTAAATATTGCATATTGCCTGTGTGTGGTTACAAGATGGTTAATATTGCCATTGCAGTTCAGTGGCATTTGTGACTTCTCAGATTTGGCTATCAGAAAACCTTGTACAATTTCTGGAAATGGCCACCATTAGATTTTTTTGTATTTTTTGAGGGGAAAAATGTGTCATTTTACCAGACATTGTTAGAGAAACAGTGTATATTGTTAAAGGTCTTAAATATGTGATTCTTGTCATGTGTGCATGCATGCATTGATGGATGGATGCAGTTAATGAAATGTAATCGGTTGATTGAAACTGTCAGATTCTTGGGTTTCTTTCTTGACAATGTTGGTATAATTAAACTACATCACTGATTTTATTATATATATATATATATATATATAAAATCTTTTTTTTTTTTTTTTCTCCCAAGAAGCTGGGGTGTCATTTCATGAATTGAAAATGAATGAACTGTTCCTTCTTGTAATCTCTTATGGCAGTGTCTTATAGCTTTCCCAAGCTACAAGCTCATTTCTCAAATGAGATTGCTTCTAAAAAAACTCTATCCTTTCAGCATATCTTTGATTTTTTTTTTTTTTTTTACTATTAATTTCACCAGTGAAATTGAATCCTTCAACATTGATAGTAACTTTTTTTTTATTAATCATATCATTAATTAAAATTGTCCCCACCATCATAAATTAAGTCAGATGAACATGAAGCTTATTGAACACACAAAACTTGATAGACAAATATAAAATATAATATATTCTACTATGGTTTGATGGCCAGGGAGTAAGATGTTTGATTCATTAAGCTTTTTTTTTTTTCTTTTTTTTTTTTTTTTTTTTATTGAATCAACTATAGTTAGATTATGGCTTTGTAATATATTTCAAGAAATAATTTTAAGCATTTTACTAGACTTTAGTAATATTTGTAATTTTTTTTCCCATTTATTAAAAGAAAAAATAGTTTTTTGGTCTTGTTACTGAAAACCTTAAATGTTAAGAGCCAGTTCTGTATGCGTTAAAAAAGCAAAGTATTTAAAGTAAATCAGTTTAGAAACCAATTAAGCATAACAGAAACAAACAGTGTCTTTCTTAGATGAAAATGAGGAGATGTGAAAGAAAATCCTAATCAATGCATGGTATTGTAGCCACAATTGATTGCTATCCTCCATAATATTCAGAATTCATCATTGAAATGCTCAATAAAATTGTCCAAGCTACTACAATTTTAGTTTAAATGCCATTATTTTACAAACTTGCTTTCCTTCTGGGACTTGGTTCTTACTTCTATAATGGCACAATTAATTTTTTTTTTTCTTTATTTATCCTCCCAAATGATATAATTTAACTGATTTGTTTTTTTTTTCTTCTCCTGACTTCATGAATTTTGAGCTATGTTTTCTTTGTTGTTTATGACATAGGAGATAATGAAAGTATCTTTCGGTTTTTCTCTTGTTACAGACAGATCTGTCAACTTCACACAATTCTTCTCCTACAACATTGTTTTAAATATGATTAGCAATGTAAATAACTACATAAGATTTTCTCTTTTCACTATTTTTCTCTCTGGGATTTTGTTATTTAGCAATTCTTGATCTTTCTCTTACTTTTTTTCTAAATTAGTATTTTCCATCATTCATATTCGCCATCACATCCCCATCTAGTGAAATGAAAGATTTACAATGTATAGGCATAGTAAAACGTTTTTGTATTGTTCTTGAGTTTTCTATTTTTCTCCTCCCGTAACTGCTTAATGCCTTGCATATAGTTATGCAGTAACTTTTACCAATGTTCATCCAAGATGATAGCAGGAAAATGCTTTTTCTTTAATAATCTAGCACCTTTTGGAAAATTTTAATCGTATAAAAATTTTAATTGCTGTAATCAAGGATTCAGAACAAATGATAAACAGTACAAGAATATATTAAATAGATTAAAATTTCATTTTCTAGTATTTTTTTAGTATATTTTGGACTTTTTTTTTTTTTTTTTCCAAAAGATTGTTTCTCACTTTATGGAGGCTTGCAGTAGAATATTAAGAATCCAATATCACCTTCTCTGATCTTGTCTTCCATCATATCACTGAGGGTGTTGATGAATTCACTTGAAATCTGGATATCATTTGTAAGCACATGTTTAGCAAGATACCAATTTCAATTGGATGTCATATTTCCATTGAACAGTAATCAATCATGCATGTACAAACATAGATGGTTTCGAATTTTGAACTGTTTCTATAAATATCAGTTTTAGAAAAATGTCTCATAATCTAGGCTCTCCGAAAGTCGGTCTCTCAGTGTACTTGAATATTCAAAATTTTTTAGTAGTACGTTTTTCTTTAATTTATTTATTTCCAAAATCGAGTCAGACTTTGCAATTTTATAAAGTTTGTCTCAACAGCTTTTTGATTTCATAAATTTAAAAAAAAAATTTTCTAGACTTTTCTGCATCATAGGAAACAAATATCTAATGTCATAGCCCCCCCTCCAAATTTAACAATTCCGCAGAAATACGTTTTAATATTTCTTGAACTCTTTATTATTGTCTTTTCTAAAACTACATCCATTTGGTATCTGTTTTAATAACAGAATTGCAGGGTGGTTTTAGATATGCGACACATTCCTTATCAGAAAAATTAACGTTTTGTTCTCCTTGATCACCACCATTTTAAAGAACTCTTATCTTAAAAATTTGATCTTTTGGTTGATGTTTGTTTTCTGTATTGTTGAAAAGATATACAGATTTAGCTTTTGAAACTTTTTTTTTTTTTTTTTTTTTAAATCCCCTTCTGTCCCAAGCACCAGACCTACTTTTTCATTACATCTTCCTCATCTATTTCCATCTGTGTCTTCCCTGGTCTTCTTGGGACAGAACTAACATAATTTCTTTTTGTATTTTTTTTCTTTTTAACACTCTCTCTTGTTTGTACTTTTAATACACAAGTTAAGGCTTTTTTGAATAATCATCTTTTTCATCTGCACTAATACCTACAAGCTCATTACTGCAAACTGCCATTTATAAGTTAGTACAGTGAAATTGAGGTGTGCACAATTCTTACAACTGGTAGGTGTTGAACTTACTGAATACTGTATAACAAATGGTTCAAATCCTATGAACTATTCTTTCATTGGTGTTAACTCATTTGATAGATATTCAAAAATTAAAAAGCAAATATTTCCATGCTTCATCACATTCAGAAATAAGAAACCTTGGTCCCCAGCCCAAACTAATGTGATATTTGACCCCTAGAAATTGAGAGATGCAGGGACCAGATGATTGATATTATAGTGTTCATTTTTTGCATATCGTCCAAAAAAAAAAAAAAAAAATATTCCAACTCTCTTTCACATCACAAGACTAACCCAGATGTTTGCTTCTCTTTCCCCCCTCCTCTTTCTGTTCAATTTTCATAAGTAAGCAACATGAAAGGAACTTTAAAATCCAATGCAAGATAGAAATTTGCAATTGATTTCTGATGTTCTGGCTGTACCTGTCAAATCTTTTCATTTGATTTTTGGATTCATTATCAATGGATAATGATTTTGAAGCTTATTTCACCCCACTCCTCTTGTAATGGTGTCATATATTGTTTTAAGTGCTATTTGAAGATTTTATTAATTCTTGTGCTTGGTGGTGAGGTTTAAGTTAGAAATTGCATGGATTCTTAATTGGAGTAGGTAGGCTTACCTATCGCCCGTTTCTCACTCCTCCCCGGTTTTTTGAACAGGTTTTGTTTCCTGTTTAGGATTAGGTTTCTGGTTTTTTCTAAAATCCTCTCATTCTCTTTCACTCCCAGTAACCCTTTGTGTCTTAGTGGCATTATCACCTTGCTTGGGGTGAAATGATTAAAAAAGAAATAAATAAAATAATAATGAAAAATTGCTTTATTTAAATTGAGCATTTTCTAATAATTAAAAACTTTTTGTAACTTTTTGTAAAATATTGATTTTTAAAAATGTCTTTTTTTTCCTTGTTTTTTTTTTTTTTTTTTTTTATTACAAAAAAAAATCTCAAAATCACTTATTTTTAAAAAAAAATTTTTTTTTTTATTTTTTTTTATTTTGAAAATGTTTTGTTTGTTTTTTAGTCAATTTTCATATGCTTTCTCTTGATCTAAAAAAACTAAAACAAAGAAAAAGACAATGCAACTCGAGTCTCGATTAATTTCTTCTCCCACGTTACATTATTTATTTTTAAAATGGAAGGGACACAACTAGTTAAGGCATTGGTTCAAGAAAACAAAAACTGACCATAATTGGCCTCCTTCCTCATTTATTCACTGCCAATTTTAGGAATTTTATTTGAAATCCGACATCTCATTAATACCTTTGCTGGGTGAGCTAGGTGCAAAAGAAATATGGAACGCTACACCTTTATTTCTTTAAGCCCTTCTCTCTTTCGATTCAATGTAGCTTCATTTTTTTTTTTAATTCTAGATTCCTTGGACATAAGATCCAGACCATACAACAAAACTCATTCTTGATGATGTACTCTTGCCAGATCATTATACATATTTACTACAGTCATTTAACTTGACTTAAGGTGTTGAACAGTAAATAATTGACTCATTAATT